TAACAAAAGTTCAACACTGCCCCCTAGCATCCTGGAGCACTTCTGTTGTCTTTTGTAAGTGTTTTGAGTTTTTATGTGCTTCTGAGTTTTTACGTGTTTTGGAGTTTGTACGTGTTTTTACGTGTTTTGGAGTTTGTACGTGCTTCAGGGTTCGTACGTGATTTGAAGTTTGTATGTGCTTTGTCTCTAGGGGCCACCATAAATATACTTTTATTTATTCACTCCACATAAAATGTAATAAATAAATCATATAATACAAAAATCAACTATTCACATTTCAACTTTTAACTATTTAAATTTTCAGCTTTTTCCTTTTACAAATTTAAAGTGAACACAAAACACTGCAAACCACAACACAATTAAATATAAATTATAATATGAAAACAAAAACAACATGCACATTCTCTGTCATATGGACCTGCATGAATAAACTCTCTGAAACCTTTATCATCCGCAACTGAAAATAGTTGTGGATGATTACTATACCTTTCTAATGGGACGTTGTTGTCCCTGGCTCTCTTTCTCTCTCTCTCCCCCTCCCGCTCTGTTCCTGTGCTACTGAGTGTAACTACCGCCCCTCCCCCCTCTGCCCAGCGTAAAGTACAAGGCTCGCGGGCTGAGTGAAGCGGAAAAAAGTGCGAGAGAAAGGGTGAGAGAAAGAGAAAAAAAACCCACGGCTCGCGATAAGGAGCCGGCTCGCGTCGTTCACGTCAAAGAGCCGGCTCTAAGAGCCATTTCGTTCACGACCGACCCATCACTAATACCATCAACACTGACACAAATACAAGAAAACAGCCTTTGAATAGCTGTCCACTGTAGTGACCAGTATGTGTGAAAGGGTTGAAAATCTGTCTTGGTCTTTGGTTGATTAGTTAGAATGACTCGGGGGTGTTGATTCATTTAAACTAACATAATCATCCTGCTGTAACCAGGTTTCTGTAAGGCAGAGTAAATCAACTTATTGATCAATTATTAACTCATGTACTAACAGAGACTTGGAAGAGAGAGGCCTAATGTTTAATAATCCACATTGTACTGTTTTACTCTTTGGCGCTGTTGAGGATGCTGTATTGTTCTTTCTTTGTAATTTTTTTTTATGTTTAAGTCTCTTTTTTTGCTGGTTTTTAGTTTGTTTTTTGTCTGTTTGGAAGCTGACACAGTCTCTAAGGGGATGGGGTTTTAGGTGGATAACAGGAGAAGCTGAAGAGAGGCATGTAAGACTGCAACTCTGCTTCCTGGTTCCAACTCTGGATAGTCATGTTTTGGGGGGTTTAATAAATCTGGCCAGATTTCTAGAAATGAGAGCTGCTCCATCCAAAGTGGGATGCATGTTGTATCTCCTAACAAGACCAGGTTTCCTCTGCAAAGCTTCCCACTTAACTATAAAGTTAAGTAAACCCCACCTAAACACCTTTCTCTATGTGATTATAGCAGCTACCCCAAGATTCAAACCTCAGCACCATCCACTGACAACAGACAAATTACCCTGCATGTTCACTCATTATAGTAACTCCAAAGTTAACTGATGAGTACAAAAGTACAAAGGCCGAAGTATCACATGATGTAGTGTCAGTGAAAGCTTTTGTGAAAGCTGTTTTTTTTCTTTTAAATAAAGGTAAAGAAATAACGTCAAAGGGATTAATGATCATTATATAACTTTGTCACTATATAGAGCATAAACGGTAACTCAGTTTGGTGTTTAGGAAAGCTGCTGATCTCAGACCTGCACAGCTTCAGCTGCATGAAGAGAACATTATAATTTCATACGACATCATTAAATGAAATCTGACGAACGGTTAAATATCCTCAAATTTATGTTGAACTAAAAAATTTTAATGTGGAATCTTTCACATTATTTTTTTTTGCCTATATTGTGTTATTTACCATAAAGTTATTTAGAGTCATTCATGCCAGAGTAGCCAGTAATGGCTAAGGGTAATGTGTATATTTTAAATACACAACTTTCCACAGGACTGAATGTGACATCATTATGCATAAAGTCAAGAGCCTATGTGTATTATCTAAAGATGATGTGAGTACTAACTCCAAATCACAACAACAGTCGCCTTGAGGTGACTTCAAACCAACAGATCTGTCCCTTCATTTGATAGGGTGACAGGGACATCAGCATGTTAACTCCCCCAAATTTTTCAAAACATAATATTCGAGTTACGGTTACTTTTCATTTTTGCATCGCCTACTTGAGTAGATGTTTGTCCAGTGATGGTGATGGTGTGAAAGCACTTAGGCAGCAGGCCATCAGCAACCAGCCCCTCAGGCTTTGCTGCTCCTCCTTCAGGCTCCAAGTATGGTAAACCAGCTGGACCAGGATCTCATCCCTCAAGGCTGGCAGGCTTTGGCCTTTCTCCACTATGTAGTTGCCTAAAATTTGCTCTTGCCAGCTGCTAATATCTACATCTCCTGTGAAATGCAAAATCTGTAAAGACACAATATGAAACAAAAAATTAAGTTAACGACAAAAGATCATATTTAATGTATTTAATGCCACATAGACTCTAATGAATTCAAAATACCAGTTTGTAAATCTCCAAAGCAGTTCTGGCATCTTCAGGTTCTTGAGCTGTAAGGGGTTTCTGAAGGGGATATCCCTGAGGCTGGCACCATGTATCCTGAGGGAGACACGAGTACGAACAATAAATGTAGCTAATGTTTTTTCAGTACATGCATGCACGAGTGGACTTCTTTGCATGGTAAATTTTTATAGAAGTGTGTCAAAAAATATTTTTCTAATATTTGGCGATTACATCATAAAACTGGAGTTGTCCTGATTTATTTTATTATTTAAATTCTTTTAACATGAGTATTCCTTTTTTTTTTTTTAAAAAGAAAAGGTCCCATTGTCTAAATATCCACAAGGTGTTCTATGTTTTAATTAAAAGAATTAACTGCTTTTGTAAACAATGACTGCCACAGAAAGGATGTCTTTAACTAAATATCTAGATACCTTGGTCCTGATAGATTGCTTGTTGCCTCCAGAGCCCAAGTCAGATGAGAGGATTTAAGACTGAGGTGAGGTGATTAAATTATTGTAAGTCAATGTAATGCTTTCGGATGTGATGTTAGGGAGCTCATATTTTACTCACCTTTAATACAGACTTGGCATAGCGTGAGAATGGGTAGCTGTCAACATCAAGAGGCAGGTTGAGCTTATGTTCTGCTTTCACCTGTGGAGGTGAGACCTCTGTGACTCCTGATCCCTGCTTCTGCCCTGTGAGAAAGAGGCACAAGTGCATTCACAAGCTTCATTGGATGAATGGATCCACCAAAAATTGTTAGTACTGTTTATGTTCATATTGTGACTTCTTCATATAGATTCTGTAGTTTGATTTTTTTATGACTATAACCTCCTGTGCTGTGGAGTCTGGCGGACAGCTCAGCAGGGATCTCTAACATCCTCACATCCTACAAGGAAAGCAAAATGTCAGAGAAACAGTTATTATAGAATGGAATTTACAAAGTACGTGGGTCGTCATTTTATGTTCTCACCATCTCTTGAGAGACAGACTTTGCCCTTGTCACGGCTTTCACTTGGCTTCTGTCATGTAATTCCTGAAATCAGCACACAGAGACAATGTCAATTAGTTGTTAATGTGACCATGAACAAAAATAATTTCAGAACATACACCCAGAGTCATACTAAACAATAGCTTTCTTCACCTTAAGCTTGTTTCTGAGTTATCCAAGCAAAACTTAATAGCACTTCATCGCACCCACAGGCACACGTTCTGTCAGACCTATTCTTGGATACATGTCTGGTTATATACTCACTCCACACCCTGAGGGCTGTTGCTCCTCCTTGTACCAAAGGCCACACAGAGTCCAGTAAGTTCAACTTTTATCAGGAAGTTTACAGCTTAGTAGTCACCGTAACAGTATTGGTCCGAGAGGGTTCGTTTATGACATAAGCCAACCCATATCTCTGACTTTTCCAGTGTTTATAGATATATACATTTTTATTTCACATCCCAACCGTTTATCCTGCTCTTCATCTAGCTTGAGACAACGGAATGCCTACTAATAAAATTAGGTGCGGTAATAGCCCATGGGTGTGGATATATATCAACTTGCAAACATGCTTTTTGCGTATATATGTGTATATATATATATACATGTATATATATATGATGTATAACAGTTTACTGTGCCATTCGACCGTTAACGAACCTTAAACTGTTGTTGAAGAAGATGATACATATTAAATAAATACTTGCAATCAGGCTAATAAAACAATTTATTACATTGTTTATTACATTTATTAAATCTTATAATCGGGGCTGGATCACTGATGGTTGTTTAACTGCTGTATCAGTGTGCATCTTGTCATACCCAGTACGACCAGTACTCATATAGTGCCTTTCTAATCTCATTCAGATTTAACACTCAGATAATTTCAGACTAGACATACAGTATATTTTTCATACCCTACTGATAAATATAAATTCACATCTTTATGATGCATTACTTTAATGAAAATGTTGATCTTTTGTCTTTACCTGACAGAAAACAGCCTTAGCATTATTTAGCATTGGAACAGTGACTTAACAAGTGAGCACAATCCAGCTATTTGACGAGGTAACTGAGAGCCTTTGATGAATGAAAAATACGATAAAAAGATTTATATCACAGAATGTTAAACTACAGTTTAATGGTACCAGGGGCCTTAGGGATCTTAAGCATAAAAAAAAGTACATGTATGATTGGATGTGATTGGGTGAATGACGCATGTCATATAAAGCACTTTGAGCTTTCAGGTAGAGTTGAAAAGTGCTAAATAAGAACCAACCCATTTACCATCAGGGATGTCAAACTCAAATACCGCCCACTTTGATCTTAACTTAACTCATTATTTAATCACGGAGATATTTTAATATATGTTAAATGTTTAATATGTTAAAGAAGTGTACGTTTAACAATATGGCTCAGCATGTTAAAAGTGAGAAGAGTAAAAGAATAAAGACAAAGAATAATAACTTACAGTGAAAAAACGTTTTCAGATTAGTGTATCTATATGTACATATATATATATATATATCATGACAATAACCAAGCTTGAATTACTGGGAGCTCATCGCCTAATCCTGACAGCTCCACTGTTCATAGTCCAAAGCTCATAAAACACAAAGCAGCACGAGAGCAATATGACAGAAAGAAAGACCAAAAAGAGGAAAAATATCAGCTTACTGCTATTCCAGGCAAGAAACAAAAGATGATCCACAGAAAGCAACAGCTGAGAGAGGCGTCTCAGCTGTTACGATAACAAGTAAACTGCCTGTATCAGATTTCCAAATTTTCCTGGTGTAAACTATGCCTTGAGGAAACAAAAATGTCAGTTACATTTGGCATCTGATCTAACTTACATGGTTAAAGAGAAAAACAGCCTACCTGTTAGAGATACGAAGCATGAAGTCTAAGAGACACGCTTCAAAGGCGGAAGGAGAGATGCAGTGCTGCTTCGAATTTCACTGAGAGGGTTTGAAGTCCAAGAACGGAGAGGGGCTGTAAGTGTAGGTGTGGTTGTGTACACGTGACAAGGCTATCACAAGATAAGAAAGCTAGTTAAAGGGAAGGAAAGAGACTGCTTTTTATGAGGAAAATATTGATAAGCTGAAATATATAAGCCAATGAGAAAATCCAATACAACCTTGTAAAGGCAGGTATTGTAAGCCATAGAGTTAACTATAAACCTTCCTTTTTTCAGAAATCCCCTATAATAATGTATCTAAAATTAAATACATGTATGGCATAATATAGGAAAACAAACATACACATTGACCATACATGGGATATAATATAGTCCATAAATGATTGAAAAATGACTTTGCCAGTAAACTGTTCCAGTATGCAGAATCGTGGTTGCGTCATGCCTCATTCCTGCCACAGTGGTGCTGAAACCCAGGAGGCAGCATGAGGCTAGAGCAGGGAGATATGACCAAAATATTTATCACGATATACATTTGAAAATTTGCGATAACGATATAACTGACGATATAATTGACACCAGACAAAACACTTTACAACTCCACAACTTTATTAGTGCAAAAAAAACAAAAAACCCATCAATGTATTTTCACAAAATACATTGAATCCACAAAACTTAAAAAACTTAAAAAGAGGTTATACACACACAATACGGTAATATTATGTTGAAGCACACAGAGCAGAGTACGTATCACTCCGCGAGGCTCCTGCCTACGATAGCCGTAATGCTCCGACAATCCATCAAGCGGTGCAGCTTCGTAGCTTAGCAAAGTCGTACTAAAACATTTGACAGATTTTCGAGCGCCGTGCACATAAAATCGTTTCGAGGTCAGTAAACACAACTAGAATTCATACATAAGGCACACGGGGCACATAAGGGGCTCTGTCGATTTTCAGAAAAATCAAAGGATTGATTTTAAGTGCGCCGTATTTTCTAAAAAAACACGGTAATAACGACGGCCCGCTAGCATGCGCTACCAAAAATAGTGCTTTGTTGTGTATCTGACGGACGAAAGCTAAACCAGTTCCACACCACTGAAGTTGCAGCATTTTTACAAACCAGTTCTGGTTCATCTGTTTCATTCAACAATCCGCTTTGACCCTTCTCATTCTCCGTCGCCACCATGCTTTTTCCGCCATGTGTGTATGAAAACAAAGGCACTGCGCATGCGCGTTTAACCCATATTCTATCGCGATATTTCATTTTCTTATCATTGCCCAACATTATACCGGTATTACCGTGAACGGTATATGGCCCAGCCCTACATGAGGCGACCACAATTCTGCATACTGGAACATTTTACTTCATTAACCGGTTGCTGCTCACACACTTCTACAGCTGCAGCTCCCTAGCTGCCATCCACACGTAGCCACAACAACAACAACACAACACCCTACACCGCTTTTAAGCTGGCAAGGCGTGATTGCGATGCCGTCTAGATGCATCCGCCTTCTCTGCTACGGCACCGCTGACCACACCCGGCCACATTGTTCTTATAGGTTAGTCCAGCCTGTGGTGGATAGGCATAGCTTTGGGTCATGTGGTGTTGGTAGTGATTATTATATCACCTGTGAGCTTATGGAGGGAGTTTTTTTGAGTGGGTGGGTGATGGGGGAAGTTGACTTTTGCTGACCACTCAAATCTTGAATGTTGTGATCACTGATGTTCGGGTGGATTTTTAAAGATTTTGATAACAAATAAAAGAGACTTAAACTGAAACTTGGATTTATGTTTGAACAGCGGGTGTGTCAAAATTAGTCCCCTATTCAGCTGTTCAGTGACTCAAAGGTTTGACAGTCGCCAGTATTTGTCAGCAAAAACGTCAGCGACAGAGCCTCCCGCACAGTGGCGGTCCTAGCCTGTTTGGTGCACTGGGCTGATTCTGATTGTTTCAGGATGCAGATGTGCCATTATCCAATGACACATCTGCTTACCTGTATCTTTTGCTCGTTTCTCCTCCTCTTCTTTTCTCTTTTTTCTAAACTGAGCACCTGATGGCTTTGAACTTTTCTAATCCATCTTCCATACAGGCAGGTTTTAATTTTGCACTCCAGCATGAACACCCATCCCCCAACCCGAGGATCACCACAACATAACCTAATAGACCTACACCTTAGTTCACAGATTCACTTTGTCTAGGGTTTATTTCTGGGATTTCACACAACCCAGGATTCAAATCGTGAATACATAATGGGCTTGGACTGACAACATTATGAATGAAATGTGCTCTATTTGGAATCAGGTTTGGTTAAACTGGCAGCAAGGAATTTGCATTTGCACTGTTAAATTTTTATTTAACTTTAATGCACATAAAAAACAGCTGCTTGTTGAAGTGAAAATACATTGATGTTTTTGTTTTGTTTTTTTGCACAAATAAAGTTGTGGAGTTGTAAAGTATTTTGTCTGGTGTCAATTATATCGTCAGTTATATCGTTATCGCAAATTTTCAAATGTATATCGTGATAAATATTTTGGTCATATCGCCCTGCTCTAATCACAAGCTGCATCTGTTGTTGGAAAACCTGAAAATTATAAAAGATTAATTGTTCTCACCGAGAAAGTTCTTGCAAACAAAATTGAAACCATCCAAACAGATCGGAAAAAGCATGTAAACAAAATGAAAAGGGTCATTATGTCTTTTAAAGAGCTAATGAAATAAATTTATAAATTATTCACAAGTTGAATCGTTTAATTTAACTATGAGTTAAGAGACCTGTTTAAGGATGGTAGGCATTGCATAAATCTCTTCTTTCATTAATCTCATTTGAATAGAAAGATAATTAAAATACATGGTTCTTAAGCATTGCTAAATACAATAAAGGGTTAATGGAGGGTGTTAAAATATGTCTGTCTGAAACTGACAAACGTTCAGGCAAGCCGTCACCTGACAGGGTACAGTCACAGGAAACACCCCTAGGAGAAGTGAGGGTTCAAGAGCACTTTGGAAAAGAACCTCAACTGTCTCTTAATCTCCAGCATGATGTCTATGATGATGTGTTGCCATCTGATAGTGTGTCAAACCAAGGCAGTAGGTTGAGCTCAAAAATATTAAAAATATAAATAAATATCAAAAATATCATCTACTTCATCTGCATGTTAGAGCAGAAGCTAAAATGGCTGCCTTGTTACAGCCAGCATATGCTCAAAGAAAAACATTTTCTTGAAGAACAGGAGGAACAATTGAGGAGAAAGATGGAACAAGGTTTCCAAACAGCTTGAAGCAGATAATAGCTGCAATTGTTGCAAAAGTGAATGTGCTGAGAACTGGATCCACTGTGGAGAGCACTGGTTCATGGAAATCCAGTGGAATAGAATCATATTAAAAAAAAAAAAAAGAGTAACAGGCTTGAAATCAATGCAGACACAGAGACTTTTGTTCCAGAGATGCTTATCTGAATAAAGTTCACTCATGGCCACTGATTAGATGAGAAGACAGAAAGGCTTTTCAGATGTATTGTTTGCTTATACATAGATGCTGCAATGCAATGGAAGAGGTTACGCTTCCCAATATGCTTGCTGTGATTAGAAAACTGCCATGTAAATTAAAAAACAAATGGTGAACAGTAGCATGTGACATCCAGGAGAGGCAACATCACAGAGCTGCATTCACGGACATGGTTTCCTTCCTTGAGTGTCATGTTAAAATTGCTACAGATCCTGTCTTTGGAAATCTATGTGATGCTCCATCAACACATCTAACAGCCAAGGGCAGTGATGGAGGGAGACGTTCTCCACATCCAAGGGCTAAAGGAAGTAGCTTTGGCACAACTTTTTCTGATGTTAAGAGAAAGAATCAAAAAGGGGCTCAAGATTGTCACAGTGCTGTGAAGGCTTGTCTGTTCTGCAAAGGTGGACACACACTCTCCCTGATAAGAAACCTCATAAGGAGAAGATTTCGTTTCTTAAAAAGAATAGCATCTATTTAGAGTTGTATTGGACACACCACCCAAGAATGCAGAAAATGAATTTTGTGTAAAATCTGTGATTTCAGACATGTAAGTATGCTCCATATCCACCAAAAGGAGAAGAAAGAGGTCAAACTTCACAATGAGGCAGATCCTGTTACAATCCAGACTAATGGTCTTACTGGTTCCGGTGAACAAGACTGTAAGCTTGTAGAAACATATACCTTTCTGGACCTTTTGATCGGCATGAATATGGCCAGAGCCATAGAACCTTTAAAGGTCATCCAGAGTGTAGGTGATGGACCTTCCGCCATTAAGACCATGCTCGTTTGGACAGTGAATGGGCCACTTAGTCAAGAATGCTGTGAATTGGCCAGGATGGCTGTCAACAGTTACAGCCAACAGAGTTTTTGCTGTTACACTGGACAAGCTATGGAAACAGCAGTTCAAGATGGACTTCCCTCAG